TGACCCTCACCCTCACCTCCACCCTAGCCCTAACTCTAACCCTGACCCTCACCTTCACTCTAACCCTAACTCTAACCCTGACCCTCACCCTGACCCTCACCTTCACTCTAACCCTAACTCTAGCCCTCACCCTCACTCACACCCTCACCTTCACCCTAGCACTAACTCTAACCCTAACCCTAACCCTAACCCTAACCCTCACCCTCACCCTAACTTGGAGCAGTACAGATAAAGCATTGTCTGCTACCTGCTCACCAGCCACAGCGGATAAAGTCCATGTCTCCATCAAGGACCTACATTTTTCCACATGAATGTGTTGGTTTGGTATGAGATCTCCCCCCAGATCTGTTAGTACTTCATAGAAATGAAATCTCAGTTCTTCCAGGATCCCTCCCCACAGGATATAACCACACCATGCTTAGTCTGCTCCACGCAGGGTGGCGTTTACTGAACTGCCAGTCCTAATGATTTATCGGGACTCAAAACACACTTCAAAACTTCCTATGCTAGTCATATAAGTACTTTGTGAAATGTGAATTGTGTAGAAGCAAACCAAAAGACAAGCTTTTCTTTAGACCTATTAATCTACATAATGATTTCCTTTCCTCACATAGATATTAATATGAATCTTAAGAAATTTAATTTATTCTTTAACTGATACCACATGAGTACTAGAAGGTCAAATTGAGCACACAGTGGTGTTAATGATGAATTATTTGTACCTCTTCAGTTAAAATATATTTGAGGGCTGTTACATTAAAATAACTCTGGAAACTCATTTAATTTCATAATTCATATTCAAAGTTAGCACTATACATGCTATAGAAAAACGAAGTATGTTGTCCTACAATCAGTGAATAAAGCCAAGTTTTATTTGCTTAACTGAATAGTGGGCACAGGCAAGGAACTTCAAAAATAGTTCTAAAATGATTTGTAGTGGTACAATTTGCAGAATCACACATTGCCTCCAGTATATTTGACAAGACATTTCATTGAGATGCTTTCCATTATAATAATAAGCTTCAACCTTTTTATTTAGAACAGAGTTAAACAGAACATGTTTGCCTTAGTTGCTTAAATTTTTGTACTTTGTGATGTATGTTTCATGCACCGGATCACCCATTGAGTTCATGTGGAGAAAAATAAGACAATAAATAAAAGCCAAGAAATAAAGGTAATCATATTACTCACTAAAATACTTTCATATCTTGCTCATAGAGATTGTTAGTGTAATTTCTCCCAGTTAGATTTCCACGTGCAATTGTAGTGTTAGTAGATTAGGAATTTTTTTTTCACACATGAAATTGTCACCGAACATCTGAGTGAATCAGAGACTAGAGCTAGGGTATTCAGGCACGGTGTTTGCACATGGCCATACTGAAGTGGAGCAGCCGTTACTTGTTCCAGGAAAATAAATCATGCTAAGCATAGCAGGCTTATTTAACATCAGGCTTCCAGGGATTTGTCAGAGAACAAACTGGGTATTCCTTAAACAATAAACCATAAAAACAAATGTAAAGTAATATGTAGGAAAGGTACTAAATTATTCACCATAAGTAAACAACATTTATAATTTCACTGCGAAAGGGTAAAATGGGTGAGGTATTATAATTGACCCTCTGCCATCATTTTGATCTAATAGTGATTGCTTTGTGATGCTTAAAAGAGTGTCTGCATTTCAAGCATAGGTCCAAAGAATTTTAAGAAAGAAAATCAAATCAATGTCATGACCAGCCTTTCCTCTGAAAAGAAACTAATGTTCCCAATTTTTCCTTTTAGATTTGAATACTTAAATAATTTGTATATAACTCCTTCTTTGTAGTTTGGACTTTAACAGTGTACAAAATTGGTATGTCATAAATCCTAAATTTTGATAATCATAGCAGGTACAAAGATTGGGATTGACTCAAAATATGTTGAGCACTTACTTTTTATTAATTATTGCTTTAGCATGGAGAGTAATTTTTGAAGATAAAGTTAAGCATGAATGTAAGCTTTCAGCTTATTTGCCATCAAAATTAGTGATTTAAAAGGAAGTTTTTATTAAAACATTCAGAATGGTTGTATAAGTAATGTTTTAGTCTAGAAAACCAAAGGAATTGGTTTAACACCTGTGTTCATTCTATCTTTCCATATACATTCGTAAGCACTGAAATGTGCAGTTCTGAAAAGGTATTAATGTCAAATAGAAGACACAATATTTGGATAGTATCAGACAGGAGTGTCTGATGCCTCCTCATGAGATTGTGGTGTGATGTTGGGGCAGATTGCTGATATTTTATCTAACCATCCTCTATGTAAAACTGATGTTCTCTGCGCTGTAGGAAAGAAAACCACGATAAGATCACTCACAGCAATATTAATACTTTAACAGGCAAAATTTTAGTCTTATTAATATTTTAGGCTTTGTTGTCAGATAGGAACTATAAATGGGTAGAGCAGAGTAAGTTTGTTATTTGCTGGACTGAGCAATAATCAATGGAAGTCAAGAGAAAGATTTAAAAAATTCTATAAACCTAAATAACTATGATGCACAGTGGAACTCTAATTAAGAACTAAAATTAGGGCCAGCCAGATAGCTCAGAGAACTAAAGTGTCTGCTTAGGCAGAGTGCAGCAGCCGGGTTTGATCCCCAGGTCACGCTGAGACAGTGATCATGACTGGGTTTGGTGGTGCATGCCTGTAATCCCAGTGTTTGGGAGGCTGAAAACAGGAGGATCACTACTAGTCTGATCTATGTAGTG